AAATGTTGACAGAGGTTTTTCTTAGTTCTTAGGAAACTCCTCTTTACTCAAGGGTTGACTCAGTTAGGAACAGTGAACATGCTTTCTATTATACCAACAAGTCACTCTCAAAAACCTTCTTAAAAAGGAGTTACTATCAACGGACAGAATTCCTTTCATCATGGTCTTGTAAGGGCAACAGTGATAGATGGTTCTGAACAGAACTTTTCAGTCAACGAGTTAGGTAAGTTTTGATGTCTGAGTTACTGGACCATTTAAAACTTTTTACCTGTAAGGATATAAGTGGATGTATGATGCAAGTTAACAAAAAGTATTGTCCATTTTTTAAACTGTCCTCACAGTGTCACACCATAGAGTTTACTTTTTTAGATCAAAAATGAAATATACAGTCAAATTGTCCTCTTCACCAACGATTTTGATGGGGACAACACGGTCCCCTGTCCTGATATGAACAGTAGAGACGGGGTGAGGAAAGACCTTTCGTGTCATTTTTCAAGATGTGCACAAGCACCAAAGCTTTGTCCTTCACCCAAACTCTGGGATAAAAAAAAGTACTTAGTTATACCTTAGTTGGCGTCTATGAAGACTTGATGTCTTCCACATACTGTGCTTATCTCTGCTGAGCTTGTCCTGATGGAACTTATTTTATATATATGCAAGTCCGGGATGGCATTATAAGCCTATCCTTTTTTAATTTTTCTCTAGCATTACGATTACTCTTGCAAGGAAGAGAAATAAATCTTAAGTGTTTTCTTCTTCAAGCACAGCCTTGAGGAGGAGTACTAACGCCAGCTCCCTGCCGGGTTCCATTCGGGGCACATCACATCTGTGATTTCATCGACATTTTTTAAAAAAGCTTTATGAGGTAGCTATTATTTCCGTTTTCCAGTTGAAGAAACTGGGACACAGGCTGGCTAAGTAATTTTCTTAAGGCCACACAGTTAACAGAGTTCCATCCAAGCCCAGGCAGAGACCACGGTCTGTGCCAACTTCAGAGCTGTGCCAACTTCATTGTGTTAGGCCAGTTTTATTCCCCCCATCTTTGACTGGAAAACCAGAATCCTACAAGTTTCGAAAAAAATGAAAGCTAGTCAATCTGAAATACCTTTTCGTTTATTTGCTTACTCTTTGTGAATAAATACTGTACGCTGGTGGATGCTGAATGCGTACTTTTTTGCTAAATGTATTTTTTTTGCTAAATGCATTTTTTTTGCTTCTTCTGTACACATGCTCTATAACTTTGGGGGTTTCATTTGTTTTTTTAAAAATAACTTTCCCTAAGTGATTTCTTAAATACAATAAAAATATTTTTACCATTTCATCATTATTGTTTGCTTTTTTCTTGAATCCCATAGAATGGGAAGGAATATTCTTTAAACACAGTTTCCTCAAAAAATAGGAGGAGATATCACATGTATTTTGCAGTCCTGTTTATCAGGAAAGAATTCCTCCCCGTTTGGTTTTATGACACTTATCAATCGTCTCCCTCTCTACCCACTTTTATGCTCTCAATACAGTCAGGGTTGGGGAAAACCTGGAGTTTGATGTCCACACTGAATCATCCATTGAATCAGTCTAGCGTCTGCAGGGAAGCACTCTTAGTTAACCTGAAGGTAGATTTTATTTAAATAATACTTGGAAAGAAAAGAGCTTTGGTTCCCACATAAGATCATCTAGTACAGCCATGATGTGATACACAGTGACCGACCAAGAGGTAACTATAATTTGTAAACTATTAGGAGATCTACTCACTGCAAAGGCAGAAGCTGTATTCCAGGCTCACGAGCACCTACCGCTAAGGAGAATCCGGATGTGTGAAATCAGTGGACCATTGCTGCAGGATGTCAGAGTTAATAGGTTAAAGTGAAGGACAACGCAACTCCGTCCTCTCTGCACCCCTTGCTACTGTGGTGGTGATTCTTTCTCAGACTCTGTGCAGGTGAAATGCCAAGTGTAACACACACACGATGGCTTCACCAAGTTATCTTATGTTACCGACGGCCAGGCCGCTGCCCCTCCCCCACCCACCAGGGATGGGGCATCAGCAAAAACAGAGTCCAAAACAACTGTGGGTCACAGTGGGAGCCAGAGAGGGAGAGGGGGCTGAGAGCAGATGTTCAGCTGCCTGCTGAATGGTCCATTTAAAAAATTCACAGAAGTCAGAAGGGAGCAGGGAATGCCATAGCTACCAGCATGACTGGCGACCCGGGCCCTTCCTGAGCCCGTGTACACGTAGGCCCTGAAGGCAGCCACACCATAAAGCGCAGATCCACAAGCTTGGAGCTTCATTGGCTGTCAACAGTATTATTTCTAAAGCCTGCTCCTCAGGAAAAATCAATGAAAGCTACTTGTGCAACAGAGTAGCTCGCTCTGCCTCCGAGTCAGGGCCCTTCCGAGATATTAATCACCAGCTATTTGAAATAGGAAAGGCGTTTTTTTTCCCTGCAGAACTGACTAATTATCTTTCATAACTCTTTTGAAAAGCAAATGGAGATGTAAAAGCTCAAGTGAAAAACATGGTAAATGCATTTGTGTCTAGACTTTGCCAAGAAAATAAGGGAGTTTAAGTGCACAAAATCAAAAGCTCTTACTAAACTAGAATTTCAAATCAGGGCAAAAAAAAAAAAAAAAACCCAGCTCCACATTTTAATGTATCTTGTCTTAGCATTTTATGTTTACACAATCAGCTGAGGGTGAATGTTGCTGTCTACTCAGGATGTACACGCAGCTTCTCTGGTGCGCAGCCCCAACAGAGCACAAATTATAAAAAATAAAAAGTGCTTTCCAGGCATCCCTTCCCTGAAAATGCCACACGTTCCTGCAAATGGTGGCACAAGCAGACTGCTGGAAAGCGGAGCAAGTGCACAGGGGATCTCCACGGCACCAGCCACAAGACCTGAAGAATGGCTGGGTTGGAGAACAAAAGTATAGGTGATTGTCGGGCACCGCGACCCAGGGGTGCAGCAGCAAGCGGAGAGGAGAATGTGAGGGGAAACCAGGGCTGTCTGTACAATATATACAGATTCGTTTCAAATGTAAATTTGAACGTGAATGCTGCTATTATGTCACTGCATAAAGGAGAGCGTAAGAGGCGGTTCTGCCTCCCTTTACACACGGCGGCGTAGAGAGGAAGGGACGTGAAAAGCTGGTCCTTTGTGCTGTACTGCATCAATAGCACTCAGTTCTACTCCGTGGCTTAGCCACTCTGCGCTTAATGACTATCATGCCGGAGAAGCACTTTGTGATCTCACCGAGAAAGGTCGGTAAACCCCCTAAGGAGCCGGGTTTTAATACTTATTCCTAATGGCTGAGCAGCCTCTGTGAAACCCTCGTGATCTGAAAAGAAATCAAGATACTGATTTATTTTACACATTCTGATTCTTCCATATAAAGTCATTTCTCTGAAAGATGGAGCCCTGAAATCATAGTAAGTTATCCTGTGCTCTCGTCTGGGCTCGTCGGGGTAACCATTACACACTGCAAAGGAGAAGCATGTTCTTCAAGTGTTACGGCCCACGCTTACAATCTGTCAAAATGCAGAGCTGAGGAGGAGCTGTGTGTTTTAACTGCACACAGCCGTCACTAGCTATCACTCTTCTCACAGACAGGAAAAAGTCAACAGTGAAGCAGAGAAGCTAAAAATAAGTAACGGAGCAATTGCTCAGAAGAGCTGCACCCGGGCATAGGGTTAAATGTATACACCCTCCTTCCTCACCCCCCCCCGCCCTATTTTTCATTACTGCCAATTTAAAGTAATTGAAATCTAGAGCTCAGGCCTATGAAAAAATAACACAAACACACTGCATAGGTGTGTGAAGTAAGTCGTGAGTAAAACCCTATGCTCTAACCATGTAAGAACAGAGCTCCTCTGGACCGCACATGCCCAGAATGCAAATAGCAACTAGTATATTTTGTTGCAAATGCCGTAAAAATGACAGGTATAGGCACTTCAGATGCTCAAAGGAAAACTCAGTGTCATTTCATACAAACAGACTATTTCTTCATTCATATTATGACATGTTCATTTTGAAGAATCAAATCAATATGTAGTAAAGACCTATCATATGCAATTTACTCAAAGGATAGAAAACAGTGCATTAAAAAAAATCATGGTTTACATGCAGGAGGACATTCAAAACACACATCTGAGTGTAGATAATGGAATAGAGAAAAAACAATCCAAAGAACACCAGATTCCGAAAAATCAATAAATCTACGACTAAAAGACCTTTTTTGGGTTTTTATCTCTTTCTGTAAGAATTTATTAGGCGAGAAAGCATAAGAACCTGGAAAGTTCTAAGTTTGAAATCTTACGTACTCAGAAGTAGACAAGTTGTCTTACATGGCAGTTTTTGACTCTTTCCATCTTCAAAATGAGTCCTCTAAACAAATCCCGTAGAAACCATGAGATAAAATCGGTATTAAATTAATACAAATTTGTTTTATCAGTGCAAGGTACAATATTTACTTTTTTGGTAAACAGGGTTTTTTGATAAAGAGAAAACTGTGAAATAAGGAATTAGGGGTTACATCACATTCTTCTCTGAGCCTCAGCATCTGACTCATTTCTGGATTTTGAAGTGTGTTGTACCATATTAAGAAAATTCTGATTCATACACCCCAGCAGCTACACGGGACAGCTCCCTTTAATTTCATGCTACTCTTTAAGCCAACGGAGAAAGCAGGAGGAGCTTTCTCTCATAGTCTGAACCAAAACTTAACAATCTATTATCAAAAGCTAACTCATCATCAGAGGTCTGACCTGTGGTAACATTTCCATATAGTACACTTGGCTATACATGTGGGGGTTTTAATTACAATATTTCAATCCAAATCAAACATCTGAGAAACCCCCAAAAGCTCCCACTCAGATGTCCTAGGGGCCAGCAGAATCTCTGTTTAAAAGCCTGAGACCCTTGCCAGGAGGCACTGACTTGGCATCACTCATCGGCAGCGCAGGTGACGGAGGTGGACACAGTCACCAATGCTGGCTGGCAAGCCTAGGACTCCAGGAGAGCGTGCCACCTGCACACCTGCTGGCCTTTGGTTTCCTTCATCTCCTCCCAGTGGTCCTGCTCCTCCTCTCCACTGCTGTTCTGGCCCAGAGCGATCCAGCCAATCATCTCTTTACGCTTCATGGTTCGCCTGTTGTAGATGGAGATCATCAGCGTGACGTCAGAGAGCTGGAAGAGGGCCACCGGGAACATGAAGGTCTCCTTATACACAGGATTGGGCTGCCCACGTCGAATGGATGTCTTGCAGCGGGACATCTCCTGACCCACAGAATTGAGGAGAAAGAGTTTCCCATATGTATCTAAGATAAAAAACAGAGGGGTGGGGAGGGAGAGGGAATGGGAAACATCAGTGCCGTCCGTTCGCTTGTTCACCTGTAACATTCAGAGGGGCCGCAGACTTCCTCGTTCAACTTAGTAGCAGTCTTAGGCCTGGTTCTTGGTGCTGGGCCAACACACCTTGCATGAATTATTAAGAAGAGGGATGGTCACCTCGAATGCCTCCTGCTTCCTACAGCTGACTACAGCACACTGCCCATGTTCATTAGAACCGTTGCATACACAGCAACAGCGTCCACGGGTGTGTGTGCAATGGTTTGTGGACACGTACAGTTCTCCACTCACATTTTATTTATAACAAGATAAATGCACACATTCTTCTCCTCATGTGCTCTCCTTTTCACAGTTATGTTGCTGGTATTTTTTTTTTTTTTTTTTTTTGCAGTTTTTGGCGCGGCCAGGTTTGAACCTGCCACCCCCGGCATATGGGGCCAGCACCCTATTCCTTGAGCCACAGGCACCGCCCTCACGTTGCTGTTTTATGCCTGAGTTAGAGAATCTCTTTTCTTCTCTCTCTCTACATATTCCTTGGAACATGTCATCTACTTCCATGGTTCCAATGACAACTACCAACTGCATAGGTCTGGCTTAGACTTTTCTCCCAAATTCAAGCTCCAGCTGAAAACCACACTCCTCTCAGTGTGTTAAACACTCAACACGTCCCAAGCTCTGAAACTCTGCTGCTCCCCTGTTCCCTGTCTCTGTGAAAATTAGTGTCATTCCCCTTATCAGCCCACTCAGAAACCAGAACTTCATTTTTGACAAGACTGGCTTCCTGACCTTCAGTCCACTCAATCAGTCGCCAGCTTCTATTGATTCCACTTGCTGTAATAGTTCCCCAGATGAACTCACTTCTTTCCATTCCCAATGCCACTGAACTCTGAGTGGATTTCATGAGCTCAGGTCATGGCATCTCTCACCCGTATCACTTCCTGATTCCTCACTGATCTCCTAGTCGGGGGATTGCCAGAGCCATCTTTGTAAACTGCAGATCTGGTTGTGCCACTTTCATGAAGAAACAAAAACCTTACAGTCGGGGCTTCCTCCTGGTCCCTGCATCAAAGCTGATTTCTTGGTCAGTCTCTGCACTTTAACTCTCCTCTGCCTCCAGCCTCATTGCCCACCCCGGCTGCCATCACACACTGCATTTCCACCACGCTGAACTTCCTCCCTTCCTCTGACCCACCTGTTCTCCTTCCCTTTCACTTCTGTACATGGTCTCCGTGCCCAACTGATAGCCCCACAAGACTTCTCTCCATTAGGTTCAGTTTGGACACCACTTTTTCCAGGAATCAGTGCTGACCTCTCTCCCCCACTTCACACTAGAGCTGGGTCCCAGAACCCTCCTGCGACCACCTCCACAACCCGGTGTTAGCCTGTGGCAGCGGTCATTACCCAGAGCTTTGCCCTGTCACAAGATCATTTTCTAATTATGAGAAAGGCCACTTAACTACCAAACCACCATCACTCAAGTTGCCTCTTGCCTGCAAATATATTCAGTTCCCCCATGGTAGAGAGAGATTGCTTTCTCTAAACACTGTACGCCGGTTGCCCGGCCTCTTAGAACTTCAGTGAGGATTTTGCAATGAATGTGCACGACTCTCCAGGGAGCTCAACTCTCCTTCTTTTGCTCTTAAGTTTTTAAACTTGTGAAATGAAGCTAAACCCCTCATTAATAACCCCTTTACTACAATGCTATAAATCAGTGATGAATGTTATGCTCATTCATTTACAGAAAGGAAGGAAAACATCCATGTTTCACCAACATGGTCTACTTTTGCTAAAATCCCTGAATGGATCACTACAAAGAAAATTATCTCCTCGGACAATTATATTTTTATTTAAATCATCTAATTTATCAATTCATTGCGTTTTAATTACAATTTTTACTACTGACGTATGTGCATGCTATTCATTTAAAAATCACAATGTGAATTTTGACAATCCGATCGTTCCGTACACTCTGTTCAATGCAGGCAGCGAACTGATTAGTATTTACTGTTCATTTTCCTGCCTACAGACAAGTCAAACTTTCTAAAGCGTAAACCCTGATCGCTGTCATTTACTGCTCTTTCCCCAAGCATTGTAAGATAGGAAACAAATTACAACCTGCAGTTTCCTTTCTGTGTTGGTCTTTTGCTATTCCGGTTTGATGTGTTATTTTATGCACTTATCTGCTGAGCAACACAAGGTGTGAAATTACACTTCAGGTGTGAAAACACTTCTCTGTCTCAGAAACAGGGCTCTCTGCTCTTCAAACCGTTCTCCGGAAAAGGCTCTCAGGAAACCAACAACGGGGGAGTGAATTCGAGTCTCTGCAGCCGGACAGCGACGTGACTCCTATAGGAAAAGCTCCATCCCGTCACCAAACTGCTCAGGCAATCCTGCTGCCAGTTCCAGCAGTGGGACTCAAGTTAATCTTGCAAACAGAGACACGCTCATTTCATAAAGAGAGCAATTTCGAGCTTCGTCCTGTCACAAGATCATTTTCTAATTATGAGAAAGGCCACTTAACTACCAAACCACTGCCACTCAAGCTGGGTCGTGTGTTTATACACAGAGGGAAAACAGTAATTTTACAAACAAGTCAGAGGATAGAGAACAAAGGAGAGGCAATGTTGCTGATGGCTTCAGTCCAACAGGGAAGCTGTATCAACAGTACCCTGTGCTCACTTCTTAATGGCTGGAGCATACAGTATAGGGGAGCATGACTGCACATTGGGGGTTCAGAGAGTTACTTCGATGACTACCAGTCCAAAAGGATGGAGGAAGACTCCACCTAAGTAAATATCCAATTTTTTTAGTACATAACAGTATAAGTTTGTTTTATATTAGACAGGGGGAGGACAGTGGGGGGAGGATCGGGAAGAAAGCAGAGAGCTGGGGGCCGGGGGTGAGTGAGGGGAAGGTGGGGGACAAGAGCACAAGAACAGCCTGGTATGCCAAGGAAGGAAGGAGGAATACCCACCGGGAAATACACAATTTAAATGAGCTCTACCTTGACTTTGGAAATTGATATCAGCAGGCATAAAATATTACTGAGCAATATTTTATCTTCCAACAATGATTCTCAAAGCTTTATAACTTCTTCAGTAACTTAGAACCACACTCAAAGGGCTAAATGGGTCATAATCCCTCAATAGCTCCATTAACAGCTTTACCAGTCACTTGCCTCTTTTTTTACTAAAAGAAGATATCATTTGTACTAAAATATTAACTATAATATATAATCCCTAATTTATTATGGCACAAAAGCATGTGATTTGGAAGTCAAAGGTTATTTTTCCAAAGAAACAATACGGCCCCCAGTGGTCAGTTGTGTAACTCGGGCAGAATACTGAACACTTGCAGCATGACCTTGGACCAAGGTCAGCGTGGGGGTCAGAGCAGCCACAATTTAGCATTTAATGGAATGTACATCTTTCTGAAACTTTTTTTATTCAGTGTTAATTTTGTAAGTTTAGCTCTGCTTTATTTTATCTTCTGTGTATAATTCTCCAGTACACCAATAAACCACAATTCAGTTATCCATTTTCTTAATTAATGGACACTGATGGGATTTTGATTGGGATTGTACTGGATATGCAGATCTGGGAAGAACTATTATTTTCACAATACGGAACATTCTCAGCAATATACATGTTTTAGCTATCTGTTTAGCTTCCTTTTGTATATTTCAAAAAGTTCCATAATTTTTTCTATAATTTTCTTGTTCATCTTCATAATGTTTTTCTTGTGGCCCCTTGATATTCTGCTACTGTTGCAAACACTGATGTTTGAAAACCAATTTCTAATTGTAGCTGATGCATTGGAACACAATTTTAAATAAATATTAAGTTTATAGCTTTTCTTGTATTTTTAATGTATACAATCAAGTTTTCTACAAATAAGGACAGTTCTATTTCTTCCTTTCAATCTTTCATACTCGTATTTTTCTTATTTTATAGAACTACTGCCTTGAGCCCCCAGTCTAATATTAAATGAAAATGGCACTTGTGGGGAGCCTTATTCTGCCCCTGATTTTAAAGGTATTTTAAAATTAAGAACGATGATTAGTGTAGAGTTCCTTAAAATGTCTACTATCAAACTAAGGAAGCTCCCCTGTGTGCCACATACTAGCTGTTGATATTCAGTATCACTTCCACCTTTCTTAGCTCTTTCCAAACTCAAACGGTATTCCAGTCAGACTTTACTAATGATGGCTACTTGGGGAGACAGGCAGGTAGAAACTAAAGAAGCCACAGTTCTCCAGAACCAGTGCAGTCCCGGTACCAGGAGAGGAGAGTGCAGAAGTTCTACCCAAAGATCCTTAGAGAATTGTCCCTCCCGTGTGCACCCCTTCAAACCAAACTGGCATCTTCCCTGTGACTCTGCACCTCTGAATTTCCTGCAAATACTCTTCCTGACCTTTACTCCAGCCCTCCAATGTCTAAACCCTATGGTAAACAACTTCTGATCCAACGTACGTATGGTATTTTCTATTTTTCCTGACAAAATATGACTACTACGGTAATTGGTAATCTGAACTGGAATGTTACTATCCTAAAAATAAGTACATAAATAAGAATAAGCATTGGCCTGGAAGTTGGGAGCCAGGTGATACCTAATATCAAAGAGCAGTGAAGACCCATATTACGTGATGTAAAACCACCACCTGCCATAGCTTGGGAGAGAGAACGTGTGCCTAATGAGTTTGTTGCTCCAGGGAAACAGATCCAACAGAATGTTAGACATGTGCAGTTAGTGCATTGACTTCATTTAGGGGGAGAAGGGGGTAAAGGTGGACTCAGGCTTCCCTTTTACCATTTTTCTTACCAGTATGCAAGAAAAAATAAAGAAATTCAGATCTTTTTATGGTTGGAGAGGCTGATGGCTTCCAGACTTCCAAATGGTAAGAGAGAGATTTTAAAAGCCTTTGAGCTACAAAGGCCCAGTCAAATATCAAACTAAAGACATGGCCTTC